GCTTGGGCCCTGCATCCGCATGGGAGACTAGGAGAAGCACCTGGCTCCTGGCTTCAGATCAGCATGATGTGCCAGCCACAGCGCGCCGGCCACGGCGGCCATTGGAGGGTGAACCAATGGCAAAAGGAAGCCCTTTCTGTCTGTTTCTCTCTCACTATCCACTCTGCCTATCCAAAAAACAAAACAAAAACAAAAACAAAAAAACAAATAAGACTGGGAACAGGATGTCAAAGACAAGCTTTTTTCTGTTTTTCCATCTTACTAAGAACTGTTAGCTGTGGTAGAAAGTGGACAACAGTGTATTAAGTGACTGATGCTCATCTCTTTAATCATGACTAGAACAGAGTGCTTAATATGAAGTCTGTTGGTGAGCTTTAATTGTACCCACAGTAGTGTATATATCAATCCGTGGATTTCTTGTGTGTCACTCCAGGCACTGAGCCCATAGCTTTAAACTAATTCATAACAGGTGTATGATCCAAAAAGGATTTAAGATCTCCATGGATGGTTCATATCTGTTTCTACACAGATTATAAAGAGATGTAGATTTGCAGTCACAGACTACCAGAAATAATACTGTTTATTAAGGGCCTGGAGTAATGAGAGAGTTGTTGCAGAGGTCTCGAATTTTCTACGGAATTTTAAGGATTTACACAGTTTATAGTTCATGGTTGAAATCAGATGTGTACCTGGGTTTGTAGTCTTTTGGCTTTCTTTCCCTAATTCCTTCCCCCATATCTGCTCTGGGTGGGGTTGATAGAATCTTTTAACAGTGATATGGGTTACAGCCGGTGCCGCAGCTCACTAGGCTAATCCTCCGCCTAGTGGCGCCGGCACACCGGGTTCTAGTCCCAGTCAGGGCGCCAGATTCTGTCCCGGTTGCCCCTCTTCTAGGCCAGCTCTCTGCTGTGGCCAGGGAAGTGCAGTGGAGGATGACCCAAGTGCTTGGGCCTTGCACCGCATGGGAGACCAGGAGAAGCACCTGGCTCCTGGCTTCGGATCAGCATGATGCACCGGATGCAGGGTGCTGGCCGAGGCAGCCATTGGAGGGTGAACCAACAGCAAAGGAAGACCTTTCTCTGTCTCTCTCTCTCAAACTGTCCACTCTGCCTGTAAAAAAACAAAAACAAACAAACAAACAAAAAAAAAAAACCAGTGATATGGGTTGTAGTTACTTTTTACCAGAAATGCCTTTTGTTTAAGCAGTATATGCTTATGTAAGGAATTTCATTATTCCCACACTACTTTCTCATTAATCCATTCTGCATTTCCAAGAGATTTCCAAGTACTTTGTTTCATCCTCAGTAGGAGAAGAAATAGAGGTGTTGGTACTCTAACCATTTAAAGACAGAAAAACAGAGCTCAGAGTCTCTGTCAGCCTACTTTCCAGTTGGAATTACATGTCAAACATTTTAGTAATTATGGCCATTACTGCCTCTCTTACTCTAAGTGATCTAGTATGACATATAATAATGCTGTTCTCTTACATTGAGTGATCATTTTGGTAAAGGTAAAGTTAGTATTCATGATGATTTCCCACCCCTAAATTGCAAACTGAGTGATTAATTGGCTATTTGTTCATTTCAGCCATTTAAAGTAAATCATTAGTGCTTCAGGGAAAAGCAGGGAATATACAGATTAGTACTTCTTTGAAAACCTCTCCCCTCAATACACCACCTTGGCTTCACTTTCAGTGTGCATTTTCCACTTTGGATGCCCACACTAGTTTTGCTCTCTGGGAGCTGCAGGTAAAACAAACTACAAAAATTTAATTCAGAGTCGGCATCAGTTGTGTTACAAATTTAAGGGGAGCACAGAAAAGGAACCGTGACTGGAGCGTGCAGTGGAATTTTGCAGAAATTGTTGAAGTGAACAGAGAAAGCTCTTCAAGAAACAGAAGGCACTTGCTGTCAGGTCTCCTACCCCCCTCTTAGGGCTGCCTGAAGCCATGTGTGAGGAAACGCTGCTGCTATAGCCCATTCATTCAAATCACCCTCTGAACCTCTCCTTCAATATTCTTGATCTTCTCTGGTCTTCCTGGTCTTGAACCTTAATTCTTTGTCTTGATATGCCCCGTGGAATACTTACTCTTCTGGGTGGTCTACCTGAATTAATATTTCATCTACGGAAACTTTTTTATTAAATGTGTCTTACACTGCCCCTTAAAGATAGAAAACAAAAATGCCACACCCACCATCAAACCCAATGTGGGCCTCCACACCCTAGAATGGCCCGGCATTCTAGCTTCCTACTTAGGTAGAAAGAGTTACCTGGAGATGTGGACACGCTCAGCATCTCAGAACAGAGGGATGAGCAGAGAGGTGAATCTGTTGAAGAAGATAGGGGTAGAGTCCTTTTGTTCAACACAATTCCTCCAGTCCTCTGACAAAGGAGTTGAGCTGGAGACAAACCCTAAAAGCAGAAGGTATAATGATCCCTTTATCTCAGAAGCTATTTCCTTATAAATGAAAAGTGGTTAAGAGACACCTGCCCAAGAAACTTTCTCACTCTATACATTTCTTTTTTTCTTTTCTTTTTTTTTTTTTTTTTTGAAAGGCAGAGTGGACAGTGAGAGAGAGAGACAGAGAGAAAGGGTTTCCTTTTTCCATTGGTTCACCCTCCAATGGCCACTGTGACTGGCACACTACAACCGGTGTACCACGCTGATCCGAAGCCAGGAGCCAGGTGCTTCTCCTGGTCTCCCATGCGGGTGCAGGGCCCAAGGACCTGGGCCATCCTCCACTGCCCTCCTGGGTCACAGCAGAGAGCTGGCCTGGAAGAGGGGCAACCGGGACAGAATCTGGTGCCCTGACCGGTACTAGAACCGGGGGTGCGGGCGCCGCAGGTGGAGGATTAGCCAAGTGAGCCGCAGCGCCAGCCCACTCTATACATTTCAAAACAATTTGAGAAGTATGTTGCCTCTCTCAGGAAAATATTGCTCAGCCATTCTTCATCTCTAAAAATCAAGTAGAGCAATCTCTTCACCACCCCTTCTATTATGTCCTTCTTCTGCCCCAGGAAACTGAACTCTGTGGTCATAGGATGAATCATGGGACATTCCAGTTAGTGCAGTGTCTGTTTATTTCTCCAGCAGACTCTGATTTCCTTCAGGAGGGCTCATTTTCCTTTGGGGGTGGGGGAGATCATATCTTCCTCAGCCAAAGCAAAACAAGGTATTCGTCCGATGACATCTAAATAAGTGAAAATGAAAGAGTAATGTAATCTTGTCCTTTGCAGCAAGATGGGTGAAACTGGATGACATCATGTTAAATGAAGTAAGCCAGACACTGAGAGAAATACTGCATATTCTCCTCATTTGTGGAGCTAAAAACTCAGTTTGAACACAGAATGGTGCTTACTAGAGGTTGGCAGGAGTAGACAGAAGGAAGTTGGACAATATGTACTAAATCAGAGTTGGATCAGAGGATTATGGGGGAGATTGTAGTTCACAACATCCTAGAAGATATTGTATAAACAAATAGAAGAAAGAAGTAGAAAGAATTTCTAAACCTCTAATCCTAACATAATTTCAAAGAAGGGGAAATATTAACTTACCTTGATCAGATGCAATGTGTTTATGTTACACACACACACACGCACAGAGAGAGAGAGAGAGAGATCACAATTATTATTAATAAATGTTAAAAGAAACAGGAGTCTGATTCTATATTTTATTCTCAGCAATTGTTGTGTTTCTGTTCTGAGCAGCTATAAGCAGGAAATTGAAAGTGGACCCGGAGAGACTTGAGAAGAGCTTGGCATACACTAAATGATGTAATTTGAGATATATTTGCAGCTTCCTGTTTAGGCTCTTACTTGCTGAAAAATAGCACTGAGGGTGTTTTAGGAGCTTAAGGGGAAAAAAAGCCTGTCTCTCTTCCTGGAGAGTGTACTGGCTCACCCCACTGGTTGTAGCCACAGACACAGCACTGCTGGTTGGGTCCAACGTGTTCCTTGGCTGCTGTGAGTCTGAAAGGTGAGCTCAGGAGGAAAACATCGCCCTTGACCTCTGACTTCTTCTTCCATCACCCTCTCCCCTTTGTCCCGTCCTCTCTGCATCCCTGTGGGAAGAAACCTCACAGCAGCCATGTTTCTCAGGTGTGAGAAGGACTCTGAATGCACTCAGTCATGAACACAGTAATTCACTGCATAGCACAGTTCCCATTCTAAGCATTTTATCCAGGAAACAAGCAAATGTAGGAACATGAGGCCAAATCAAATGATTTCAGTAAACAGAGAAGCCAAAGACCAAAACAACAGCTTGGACTCATCCCTCATTGCCTCCTGGTTTTACTGAGCAAGAAAAAGAAAACAGTCCAGTTTTCTAACATGAAATCACAGCGCAGTTACCCTTCCATGAGTTCACCTTTCTGCCCTCTCTCAGGGCCTGATTCCAGGACTAATACTCACAGGCAAGGTTAGTAAGTCACACTGAACCATGGTATTTTGGCCTCACCCCTAAGACACCTGCCTCCTGTCTGAGCCAGAAGTCGTCCTGTTTATACAATTTATGTAAAATTCAGAAGTAATTGTATGCTCTTGGGAGCCACAAAGAGGTACCGCTGGTGCTTTTTCAACAATTTTCGTATCCATATAACAGGAGCTTAATCCAGTGTGAGTATTTGAGGTGCATCACTACAGCCAAGCAGAAAGAGGGCCAGTACAAGAGGGAAAAGAAGGCTTGAAGGAGGTGAAGGAGGATGCAGAAAATAAAGATTGAGAAGCAGAAGCTCTGGGTTGTTTTGCATGCTGGGAAGACCTCCCTCCTTCCCACATGAATATTATAATATGCACAGAGAACACAAGTCCCGGAGCCAGAAAAGCAGTCCTAGAGTCTTTGTCTTGCTCTTCATGGTGTGCGTCCTTGGACAAGTTACTTTTACTCTTCCATCTTGGTCCCTACAAATAGAGGTAATAATATCTGGGTGCTCAAATTGAAAAATATCTTTCAGAATCAAATAAAAATGCCACACAAGCTATGAGGTGTGGTTGGTCTCTCTTTACAACTTCTCAGGAAGGAAGCCCAGCTGATGCAGGACCTGCCTTAGTGATGATTTCACCTCCTTATTCCTAAGGCTGTAGATCAAGGGGTTCAGCATGGGGGTCACCAGGTTATTCAGAACCTGAACAGTTGCATCCAGTGAGGGGCTTGGTGTTGGCCTTAGGTAGATGAGGACCACTGGCATGTAGAAAAGCAGGATAGCCGTGAGGTGGGCACTGCAGGTAGAGAAGGCACGGCGTCGGCCCTCTGCAGAGCGGATCTTCAGGATGGAGAAGACAATGCGACTGTAGGAGGTGAGGATGAGAAGGAAGCAGCTGAGGGGCATGAGGCCCACGCTGATGAACCCCACCATCTCCAGGGATGAGGTATCTGCACAAGCCAGCTTCAGCATCACTGGGATATCACAGAAGTAATAGTCCACATCATTGGGGCCACAGTAGGGCAATTGGAAGGTGAGAGTGGTTAGAAAGGTGGCCTGAACACAGCCAAACAATGAGGTCCCAGTGGCCAGGATGGCACACACTCTGTGACTCATGATGATCGTGTATCGCAGAGGGTAACATATGGCGACAAAGCGGTCGTAGGCCATCACTGTGTACAGGAAACACTCAGTGCAGCCCAGGAAATGGTAGAAGAAGAGCTGGGACACACAGCCTGCATAGGAGATGGTGCGGCTGTTCCCTGAGAGGTAGAACAACATCTTGGGGGAACTCACAGAAGGGAAAAATATATCAAAAACGGACAACTTGCACAGGAAGAAGTACATAGGAGTGTGAAGCCGAGTGGAGGAAACAATTGCTAGTAGGATGAGCAAGTTCCCCAGAAGGGTGAAGATGTAGAAGGACAAAAACAGGACAAACAGCATGGTCTCCAGACCCTCTGTGTGTGGGATGCCCAGCAGGATAAACTCTGCCACCATGGAGATATTCCTCATAGCTGTGAGAAAATCAGTCCTTAAAAGGAACCCAAGACACAAAGTAGGAACTCAACATCAAATTGTCAAGCTTTATGCTGACAAATACTTTGGCTATTTTTTAACAAGCACCAACCTGCTCATATGTCTGGAAGAGAAAAATCTCTATAACTGTATCAGGTTGTAAGAAAAGCCTATTTTAGAGGCCCAGTCTCTCCAGCTCCTGGAAGGAATGTTTTGCAAATATAGGTGGTTGTCCTCTATGACAAGATCAGGAACACACTGAAAACATTCTCAAGCTGGTAGTTTATTTTTTTACCATAATTTTATTCTCTTTGAGTGCATTTATGTTTGAACTGCCATGATGTCTTTAAATGACAAGCTCCACTGTTCATTTCCTTCTGAAAAATAAGACAAAAATGTGTAAAAATTAGAACGCTTAGTAAGAATCCTGATTTTTGCAATAATATGATTTCAATTTACATTATAATCGCAGGTTTAATGTTTTCTTTATTTTATATATCTACAATGTAGTTCTTTAAGCACCTTCCTTTAATATTGATTTTCTGCAATTAATGCCAAATGAATGTTTTCTTAAATAATATTTTTGAATAGACTAGACTTTCACAGTCTATGATCCCCAACTATGAAGTGATGCTGCTGATTATTCTGGGACTTATGGCAACTCTGAAATATTAATCAAAAGAAATAGTAGCAGTAAGGAAAGCATCAAATTCATGGGACTGTGAGGAAGCAAGAACTATAATTACCCATGTAGAAGAAAGGCAAAGAACTTTACTAGCAAGTCAGGTTACGCAACTGAAGAGCACCATATGGCACCTAGAATACACAGAAATCTCTTCCACTCATTAATCAAACAGTAATAACAATACACACACACTTACTTCATTTAGTGCATGCATATTGTTTCAAAACCTTGGGTCAGCATTTTTGAAATACTCTGGGGCAGAGGCTAACAGAGAGGCCCAGGCAAAACTTGGAATACTCACACCATCCTTCAGGGAACATGACCATGTTTTCCAAAGGAACCGGACTTCACATTGATTGTTTCTGAGCAGACATAGTGTGTCCCATCCAGAGGAGCTCTTCCTAGAACTGAGTCGTGTAGGGCTTGTACAGAGGAGACCTGCACGTACTCACTCTCTATGGATTTCTCTTAGGAGTTCTTTTATTTCAGATCTCTTTAAGCCCTACATAGAGTTCAGTGATAGCTCTGAGGGAGCAATTAGTTTGTCAACTTTATTCATTATGCAATTATGAAATAATAGTAATGATATCATCAGAAAGGTATGCTCGTCCTAGATTGTGTGCCTGGTAGAATAGGCTCAAAGCTATCTTTTTGTTTATTTTGCTTTCCTTTAAGGCATTCAAGCTTTTGCTTGTGATGTCATTGGTCTCAATGCTTTTCAAATTATCTGCAACCCATGTGACTATATAGTTCCCTGAGAATCTAATAACCATCACTTTTCATGATGAAAAACTACTTACTTACTAATTATTTATTATGCATCTACTATCATTATATGTCCATAGGTCATTATTCCTAGAGAGGGACATTTACATAATGAAATGTTCATAAATGACCGGTATATATAAAGAATCTGCGACCCTTCTAAAAAGAATGATTGACTAAATAACTAATACTGTTAATTCAGTGTGAGAATTTACCACATGATAAGTGCTCATGTTAAAATTTTAATTAAAAATTACACTTAAACATCTAAGGAAGTTTTATGAAGTAGTGGTATTATCTGTCAAAGAAACTTAAAACATATTAGATAACTTAAATATTAGACAATTAGAAAGTAACTAAGCTGAGACCCTTTGCATCAAGCCAATGTTTTTCAGTACAGTGCTATGATATGTTCCAGAGATTTGGGTGTTTGTTTATTTGAGATAGATTGAGATAGACAGAGAAGGAACTCCCGTCTGCTGATTCACCCCCCAAAATGTCTATGATAGCCAGGCTAGACAAGACTGAAGCTAGCATCTAGGAACTCACTCTAGGCTTCCCACATGGGTGGCAGGAATCCAATTACTTAAGTCATCACTACTGTCTCCAGGGTCTGCATTAGTGGGAAACTGGAGTCAGATGCAAGAGGCAGATATTGAACCCAGATACTGCGTTGTGGGACGCAGACATTCTAATTAATAGGCAAATACCTGCCCCAAGATTTGGGTTTTTTCACTTAAAGAAAGGAGAGATGTGATGTGGTCTTCTTATGCTTGTCCACAGAACTGGTAGGTAGACTTGATAGGAGTTGTTCCATGCAGAGACTGGGATCATGTGCAGACAAGATGAAACACAGATTTGTTTTCATAGTGGAAAGGAACAGTTTAGTGATTTTAAAATGTATTTTAAAATGAATTTAGCAACCTTAAGATGTAATTTTCTACTTGTCAAGGAAGTACTGTGTTCATGAAGACATGAAAAGAAGCATCTTTCAGGTATACCATTAAAGATAGTCTCAATATAAATAAAAACTTGAGTCACTTAAATTCTTTATAATTCTGGAATTACTTGATTATGTTTATAACATGAAAGTTTTCAATGAAACTGTCCTGGTACAATAAAACTGGAGCTTTAAACCAATGATGCAATTCAACAAACTCCTATAGCAATAACTATTATGAACATGCCTATAGTAGTTATAAAAGTATTATAATGTACAGGCCATTGTTGAGATATTCCTAAAGAGAGGAAACAAACACATGCTAAGATGGGATCTAGGAGTTACTCAGACAAGGCCTGGCAGGATAGGAATGACCTGTTGGGATGTCATAGTGCATGGAGCACAGTTTTACTATGGCTAAGATTGGGGGTAGATATTGTGGTGCAGTGAGTTAAATGCCAGCTGGAGGTGTCCACTTCCCATATTGAGTCCCATCTCTGTTTCTGATCCAACTTCCTGCTAGTGCACCTTGGTGGTTGTAGGCATTTGGGGAAGAACCAGAAGATGGAAGATCACCATCTCTCTCTGTCTTTCCCTCTCTCTCTCTCTCTATCACTCATTTACCATGCATTTGCTATATAATGGAATTGTGTTGAGGGTTCTGTGTATTATCTCTTTCAATTCTTACCATAAGAAATTTCCCAATTTTAATATATAGAAAACGAATTCAAGTTACTTAACCTAGGTAAAAGTTGATTAATAGTAGAGCCATGTCACATCCAGAGATGGCCTTTGAAAGAGTTCCATTGAGTTATGAAGAAAAATAAGTTCATTACTAATTCTGATTTTCAAATACTCATTCATAACTAATAGCTAATAGCATCTAACATTTGCCATTGCTCTAGTTTTCCAATACATACTTATATTGCTTTAATCAATTATCAAAAACTGTGTAAGGTACTTCTCCTTAACCCCATTTTACAAATAAGGACATTGGATCTCAGGGCAATTGCGACTTTCCTAAAGATAGACAGTGAGGAGCCCAGACATTCCCAAGTTTAGCTCACTTTCCACTTACTCCTCAGCACTTGCCTAAATGACTCCATTCAGACAGCAGCTGTCACTGTATGAGAAGAGAGTTATTACAAGATTCATGATAGAGATTTGGATAAGTCATCTGTATTCCCTCATAGATACTACTGTTTTCAGCTCGTATTCCCTGATCACACTACAGCCTCAAGAGAGAAGCCTGTTCAGCTCATTGTGTATTTCTCAGGAAACAAGTCCCACTGGAAAGATCAATATATTTCTTAAAATAGATCTCTTGTCATGATATAATTTGTATGGAAAGTTGCACTATATTTTCATCATCTTTGCTTCGTCCTTGCCTGCCTCATGCAATTCTTTTTTCTCTATTCTAGACATTCAGGTTAATCACTGAGATGTTCTATCAACAACTGGGTTCTCCACTAATCACTCATCAAAGCTTTCTGATTATAAATAGCAAGGCTAAGCCTAGGTATTCTTGATCCAGTGACAGGTGCCTTGTTGTTTGCAAAAGTGGGGTCTGAGGTGAATTATTAATCATAAGTCTCTGTTTACCCACAATAGCTCATTTGGAATTATTAGACTGTCAATGAAAAAATGGAAAGTAATAGGATGGTGGCTATCTTTTTGTTCACAAATTTCTAAATTACTTCTTACTTTCCTCCCTCCCTCTCTCCCCCCTCCCTTCCTTTCTTTCTTTTTTCTTTCCTTCCTCCCTCCCTTCCTTCCTTCCTTCCTTCCTTATTTTCTTTCTTCTTTCCTTTCTTCCATGATTCTTTTTCCTAGTGGAAAAGTTCATGGTTTCCTAAAACTTCAATGGGTTCTGTGGAAGAGATATGATTCATCTAATGAAACAGTTAATGTAATGCATATAAAACTAAAAATTATAAAACTTTTTTCCACATTTTTATTGAAGAGAGATGGAAACGAAAGTACTATCAGGGATGTGAATCCCTGGAGATTTTATCTAGTAACCGGGTATATTCAGTCATCATTAATTCCCATGGTTTAATCTGATTCCCATTGCCACTACAAAGCCTGTAGTCTGCTAGGATATGAGTCAGATATCCCCAGCAGGTACAAATACAGGTCCAGTCATGGAATCAGCTAAAGTAGAGCAGGTGCTAAGATAACAATTGCCATTTCTCATTTGATAGATAGAGTCTATCTACCTATCTATGTATCCATCTAATTATCTAATCATCATCTCTCTATCTATCATCAATCATGAATGGGTCTTTTCTTTTGCTGAGACACTGTCTTGCATCTCTTATATTTGGTGTTTACTAAAAGTTTTTCCCTTACCTAACCTTTATCTGTGCCATGGAAAAGGTACATTTACAAATTAACTAAAAGACAGGACCATATCTCAGATACTGCTAGAGGGTTTGAGTGTCTTTGTTATGTCATCGGGTGTTCTTGGTGAACCCTCTGAATGAACCACACACACACACACACACACACACACACATAATCGTAGGCATGATTTGTGGCAGTGATTTCTCTCAAGTTTATATATACTCATCCAGTTTCAACTTCAGGGTATGAGAAAATGGAAGTGTTAGTTCATGGTGAAACTAGAGGAATTCAGAACTCAATCCAACTTACGGGTAGACAACAAAGCCTCAAAAACAATGAGCAGACTAGTCATTGGTACTAAGTACACTCTGGTTTTCTACTGAAACACAATGTTTTTATAGTCACTCCTTTTTTTGCAACAATAATAAGGTTGTATTAAACAAAATAAATCTACTTTTATTAAACTTGTCCTCATAATTCAAATAAATGGAGCTATGATGGGGAACCCCCACATAATTTTAAACTTTGACATTTAGTTAAGAAGTTGATAATACAAATAGATTTAAAGAAGTTCATGTGAAATGGAATTAAAAGGCCAAAATTTTAAAAATAGAAACTTTATCTTTCAGCATAAGCTTCATGCAATTAAAAACACTTTTCTAACTGATGATGTATCTGTCGTTTAGTCCTTTCTGAAAGAATTGTGATCCCTGGGAATTTAATTATGTGAATTCTATCCTGTTTATATTATTAAGTGAAGAAAAGAGGGTGTGTTTAAGATTTTTTTTTTAAGATTCAGAAACAAAAAGAAGTCAGAATGAGCCAATTAAAGACCATAGGGGGATGCCTAATGATTTCTCCTTGCTCTCATTTGGGGAGACAGAGGAGGAGGAACACTGTCGTGGTGAAGGACTCTCCAGTGCAGTTTCTCTGTACATCTTTCTGCCAACCTTCGGCTAACTTTCTCAAGAAGTCTTTAAAACAAGCTGATGTTACCACTCCTTGAGCCTCCAGAAATCAAGCAAAATGCCTGGAGTATTCCAAGAAAACATCGTCATTTACTCTCGACCAACCTGTTTTGGTTTGTACCACTCCCACATCTCACTAGTCATCATAAAGACTGCATTTGGCCGGCGCCACGGCTAATCCTCCGCCTGCGGCGCCGGCACACCGGATTCTAGTCCCCATCCGGCGCCGGATCCTGTCCCGGTTGCTCCTCTTCCAGTCCAGCTCTCTGCTGTGGCCCGGGAAGGCAAGTGGAGGATGGCCCAAGTGCTTGGGCCCTGCACCCGCATGAGAGACCAGGAGGAAGCACCTGGCTCCTGGCTTCCGATCAGCACCGCGCGCCGGCCATAGCGGCCATCTGGGGGGTGAACTAACCGCAAAGGAAGACCTTTCTCTCTGTTTGTCTCTCTCTTACTAACTCTGCCTGTCAAAAAAAAAAAAAAAAGACTGCACTTTATCTTCAGGACAACACTGGTAAAGTCATGCTTTATTTCCTACTCTAATTATTTGGAAAAAAAAAAAAATTCTCCAGGATCTTGATTCCACATGCTGACAATTTCCAGTAAAAACTGCTCTTTTCCGCAGCTTATCTGGAACAGTTTTGGAACTCATCAAGGGAAAGTTAATCAACTTTTTCAGTCAGAATTATGGAAGCTGAACCAATTGAAACATTGATGATGACGGCTGTTGTTTCCTTTTTTTAAAAAATGCCAATTCATTTATTTTTCCTAATTTCCTCAGTTCAGTTAGAAGGGATTGATATATCATTTCAGGTTTTGGAAAATGCTATTGCTAACACCCAAATTTAATTTTATCATTTTTTAAGAAATTTTATTTGAAGCATACAAATTTCATGCATTTCGTGTATACAGATTTAGGAACATAGTGGTTCTTCTCACGCTACCCTCCCTCCCGCCCACTCTCCCACTCTTCCTCCTCTCTCTTCTATTCCTACTCTTAGTTTTTACAAAGATCTATTTTCAGTTTACTTTATACTCCTAAGATTAACACTATGCTATGTAAAGAGTTCAACAAATATTATGAGGAAAAAACACTGTTCCTCAACAGTAGAGACAAGGGCTATAAAAAATCATCAACTCTCAAATTGCCAATTTCATTCCTATACATTATT